GCTTCCTGATTTTATTGGCTACATTCTTCTTTGTGGCAATCACAGAACTAACAGTAATTAACAAATAGTATTTATATTTCTCGTTGTTCTGATGCTTTTAGCAATAATTAAATACAAAACATGAAATTTGATTCACGAAACAAAAAAGCGCTTCAGCCGCTGTACAAGTGCTGAACTGGACGATTTCAGGTAAATCATTAAAGTTTTCGAAATTTTTATCGGCCGAAAGTATAAATATGAACTTGCTAGCTGGCTTATTTATCGAGAACCGTTATTTAAATTTGAGCGAGATAAATAACACGCTCTACAGGTTTTATTTAGATAATCTATGTAGAACTAAATACTATAGAATATAAAATAACTTAATTAAACGCGATAAAATCCGTAAAAGTAGTTTTATTCAATAAATACTATTGTTCGTGTCTTCGCCATTGTCCTCATGCCTAACATATAAATAAATACTTTTGATATTTTTCGCGTAGAATGAATAATAAGATTACATTACACAACTTATAAAATAAAATATATACTAGCACAATGAACCTAAAACTAAAAACCTTAAAAAATATTATATAATAACTAAAATATATTATTAAAAAGGAGTCCCTTTAGGCAAGGTTCCGAAGATACTGGCAGCGTCACCCCTTTGAATAGCTAGACTAATTCTTTGTCCAAGGTAGCTGCCAGCTCTTCGGTCTCCTGTGATGTCGACTAACCTTTTTGCTATTTCCTTAAAAAGCCTTATAGCGTTAAGACCCCACGGGCCAAGGGTCTCGACACCTAACGGGACAAAAACAAATTCGGAGCCTAGACCCCTGTATTTGCATGCTTTAGCTTTTTCAGCCGCTTCACAAGCCTCATCAGCTCTGTTGTTGGTTCCATGTAGATGGGAAGGGGCCAGCGTGTCTGAACAGGTTGCATCCCATACCAGCACCCGGCCCATCTTCCATGGAATCAAACTCATACCGTCCGGTATCTTGCTATCGTCTCTTGCAATACCAGACGGCTCAAGTAGGCTTGGCACGTTGGCGGTGGCAAGGGACAGGCGTATGATATCGTTAAGTGCTGCATGTCTCGAGAAGCAGCCTGCACTTTTTTGGTCTGCATACTCACAACACCAAGAAGTATGTACCTACATATTGAAAGACTGAAAAAGACTCATAAAATTCTTAGACATTGGTCCTCTTACTGTTTGTTCGACACTAAACTCTTGGTTCTTGTTGGACGCAAGTTGTTAAGTTTTAATGCTAATGAGGATTATTAGGAAATAAGTTTATCAATCCCCGCTTCCTTCCTTAGAAACTTATCTGAGAGAGCTTTGTGGAGAATTTCTTTACTAAAGTTTCTCTAAGCTCAATAGAGTGCTTAACTATAAAGACTTACAGAATTATATTCTTCCCTTTCACAATCTAAAAAGTTTTGCTTTGAAGGATGCTAACAATAGACCCAATTCGTTTTATTATAATAATATAAAAAGATTGCAATATGATGTATGTTTGATGTTTTCTTTTCTTTCTTGTATAATAATAATAATACAATAGCGTCGCCCACTCAGTCCATCAGGCTTAATGCGTCTGTTCACTTCATATTTTTGTGAAGAAGAATGGTTCTCGAGTACCGGTGTTTTTACCGCTAAGCGAATGTTAGGCACTCGCGATGGAATTAAGATATCTATACATATAGGTTATTGGTACACCGAATAAATAAATAAATAATATCATCATCATCATCATCATCATCAGCTCCTAACTATTCACGGCTGGTCATGGGCCTATCCCATTGTAGGGGTGATTTGCGATATTCAATACGCTAAGAAGGCAAATTATTGATCGCATTACCTGATATCTTTATTCTCCGACACGCACGGTCAGTTAAACTGATATCAGTTCGACTGATCAGTTCAAACGGATTTAAACGAAAAAATGTTCGAGACACACGGTCAGTTCAACTGATCTGTTTAAACTAGGACTGTGGATATGTTTAAAATATCGGATTTTCAATATATCGATAGTTATAAATATATCTATATCGGAGTTTTATATATCGAAAAAATAACAATATATCGATATATCGGCTTTATTTAAAAGAAAACAATCGTAAGTAAGCTCAAAAATGATTTACACAGTTTATAGATTAATATATTTAGTTTACAAATTAAATTATAAATGTATGAAAATGTTAGGTTATAGTTCTTAATAATTATTGTACAATTTGAATTTAAATAAGACAATTATGTGTACCAATGTGTTTCAGTAAGTTTTCAAAAATACTCCACTACAATTATTGGGCACTAAATACATTGATTGTAAAAGCAATTCCTTCACGTGCTGTAGCACGGATGTAGCTGAATAAACCTAATATATACAGCTATTTATGATAGCCCGATAGTAAAATGTCTACATAAGATGCCTGAGCGATCAAAATAAATTGAGGTTTACATCAACATCGAAGCACTTGCTTCGTCATTTTCTCTAATAGTACACATGCGCAGACAATACACAAAATCGCATCACTTTTACGTATAAGAATCCACTTCAAATGATTATTTAAACGATAAAACAGGAGCAACAATTTACCGACGGTCAAGTTCCTGTCAAAAATTTTTTTATACGATAAGGGTGACAAACGAGCACACAGTCCACCTGATGGTAAGTGGTTGCTGCGGCCCATAGACATCTACATCTATCTTCGATTACGAATCAAAATGCAGATGCGTTGTCATCCGTGAGGACTAAGATGGAATGCGTTCTTTCCAGTAAAAAGAGGTTCCTCTACACTCACCATACGAAACACAGCAGCGTTAAGCTGCTATTTGACGCTGGTATTCTGTAAGAGCGTGTTCCTTCCCCTGTCGAGCCAACCCATTCGTGTTACAACTATACTACTAATATAGCTGCAGCTCGGCTCTACCACGTATATATTTCATAAGATCAAAGTTTCATAGATTATAATCATTTTAATATCACAGAGATATACTATACAAAATTACATTTCTTTTTTAAATAATAAACTGGAGAATAAGGATAAGCATAATATAGTGTAAATAAAGTACAGTAGATTGGGTCCATCAAGGATTAGGATTTAAGCTTAAGATGGCGTTGTAGATTAAATGATTTACGAGAAAAAATTAAAAATTAAAACTTATTATTTAAAAAAATATCGACTACATCTAGATTTCAATATCAAACTATCGATATATCGTCCAAAAATATTAGAAATAAATATCAATATTTCTAATTAATAATATTGACTTTTCGATATATCGATATTTTATCAACAGTCCTAGTTAAAACGAAACGGATTTCATTTCTCGTGTGCGCTACATATCTGGCTAGCCACCTCTTTTGAAGAAGATTCACTTCAAAACCCAAAAAAAATGACGAAAGAATGGTTAATTATACTTATAAGTTACCATTCACGTAATATTATACAAATAAAAATTAAATTACCCATCTGTAGAGCATACGACACCCCACTGATACTTGCATTCCCGGAGTACGTAGGCCGGTAGGTATATAACATGAGACCTTGAACGAGTGACGGAGCCCTGCTATAAGCACGCTCACTCACGGTCAGTTTGGTGTGATGCAAATGAACTGAAGCCAGCGGATTACGGTGCGTCCAAAAAAATCCGTGAGCATGGGCACATTCTGAAGGTCTTTAGATTACTAGATAATGCTTATCGGTTTCCAGTAACTAGTTAGGATGGCCTACCTTTCTATTTTTATCTAATTGAGCACGCTACATGTTAGCTTCTAAAATAAAGTTGAAGCACTCCAATGTCAGGAATTAAAATAAGTAAAAATAAGTTAAATTAAACAAAATACATTCCTCACTCCCTCTTAGTATTCGTGTAATAAATCATTGGGTAGGTACAACATTTTTTAATTTACTAAATCTAAAAATCTTACTTCTAGTCAAAATCATTGAATTCTAAATACCGAGTACAGGTAAGTTGGTAATTTATAGAAATTGGTGTTAATGGTGCTTGTAGGGTTTTTTGAAGTACGCAGATATTTTCGTCTTCTGGTTGTAGTTGGTTATGCTTTTACCGTTCTGCCTTGTTTTTTATTACCTGTAAAATATATGGCCGATTTCTAATTTTGTACCTACTTGGGAGTTTTGCTGGTTTTTTAATTGCCGGGAAACATAATAAATTAAGTGAGTAATAATACTACTGTTTTCACTATTACACAGTCTGATAATAAGGCACAAACCACAATAAAGTTAAAAGGGTATGTCAACTAGTTACTTCTAAAAATCTTGACATATTTACTCATTCATCTTAGTCTACTTGAGCCCTTTCAATTGAACCGTTTTTGGATGTGTGTCAGTTCAATTCAGCAGTTTAATTGACAGTACGCCCAAAAAAATCCGTGGATTGCCGTCAGTTAAAAATTTCAACTTAAGATTTCACACTCACGGTCAGTTTTTGGATGTACGTCGCGACACACGGTCAGTTAAACTGATCAGTTTAACTGACCGTGTGTGGCGATCATATGACTTAAATCACCAACCCGCCTTCCAACCGTAGAGATTAAAATAAAACGCATTCTCATGAGAGACACCCACTTTTATTTGCTTAAAGGTATTTGGGATTGAAATACTTTTACCAAATTTGTTTATATAGTCGATATCGACAAGTGAATCTGTTTTTATATTAAGTCTGAAAAACGGTTGACCCTGTTTCCATGCCTGGAACTTCCCGCTTATTTTCGAGCGCAAATCTATTTATATATATATATATATATATATTTTAAAACTTTGAAACGGCTCGACCGAACTTGAAAATATAATCAGCTTTAAGTTTTAATGAACAATTTCGATTTTTTGATTCTTAATCGAGTAGACGTAGACGCCTAAGTGCCACAGCACCCACTTACCATCAGGTGAACTGTATGTTCGTTTGTCACCCTTATTCTATAAAAAAATGCTGAATAGGGTTTCAAAGGTTTGTTGTAAATTATATTACATAATGACACGTTGTATATTGTACACAGGTAGCTCGAGTAGCTCTCCTGGAGCTCGAGCGGGACGCCGCTCTTCGCTTGCCCTCACTCCAGAAGATGAGCCCTTGGTAGACGTCGCTGTAAGTAAAGATCTGCCTTTCGTCTGTTTCTTGTTTCCTACATATACGATAGCATGTAAAAATAGAATTATTTAATTGATATTGTGTCGTAAAAAGTTACACAATGGAACTTTTGAATATCTTGACAAAAATAATTATCAAGAGAAAATAAGTGTTGAAATGTAATTGTTTTTTTTTAATTCATTCGTTCATTACAGCCTATCGAAAGTTCAAAGTCCAAATCCATAGATTTCCTTTGACATATGGCAGTATTTTTAATATTTTGAGCTATTGTCAGGAAGATGCTGCTACCAATCTCCTGTTATATTTCTCATAATTCCGAACTAATCAGCCCGGCGTCATGAGATTGGCCATATTCCATAAAATATAAATGTCTTACCCATAAATTTAAAAAAAAATAGAGATAATGATTTCTTATATTTACGCGAACACCACAAACTTAAATAAAACTAGTTTTTACGGATTTTATCGCGTGTGTTAACTTATTTTATATTCCCGACGTTTCGAGCACTTTACAGCACCCATGGTTACGTTACTGAGGTGTTTGATGCCCCAATGTCATAGTTAACTACGGCTACCTCCAGATTAAAATTATTAGTTTTTGTTCCGATCTACGCAGTATGAATCTTGAAGTGTTGTAGTTGTATACTTGGCTTGATCTTTAATTTTATTAATTATAGGATCCTAAGCAGATGCAAGCAGATAGCACCCAACCATTTTATCTATTAAAATTAGGAGGTTTTTTGATTTCAATAGCCTCGCGAATCATCCTTGGAAGGAATCGGTGTTCTTTAGCGAGGATTTGTGGTCTATCAAATCTAATGTTGTGACGGGGGCAATCCTGTGCATGTTCACAGACTGCAGACTTCCCGGAGCGTCTATTCTTCACATCAGCTATGTGATTTTTAACGCGGGTTTTTATTGATCTTTTAGTTTGTCCTATATAAGAGAGACCTCGTTCACAATCAAGCTTCTACACTCCTGCATCTTGCAGAGGGACATTACACTTGACTGATGGTAAAAACTGACTAATCTTCTTCAGCGGCTTGAAGTATGTTTTAATGGAAACACGCTTCCAGACGCCAAATCGATTCACCAACTTCCAAATTGGCTCAACACTTAGCGAAAATACTCTCACCACTCAGGGGACATACAAGAGCACACACAAAGGATTCCTACCATTTTTTAAGCTAGATTAAAGACCTATATCTGGTAGACAATGAAACTATGGTCAGTTTTGATGTGCAGTCTCTGTTCACATGCTTACCTGTTGAAGTCTGCTTGGGATCCTATAATTAATAAAATTAAGTACCAAGTCAAGTATACAACTGCAAGACTTCAAGATACTGTAAGTTCATACTGCGTAGATCGGAACAAAAATTAATAATTTTAATCTGGAGGTAGCCGTGATTAACTGTGACAATGGGACGTCAAACATCTCAGTCCCCTCCGTGACCATGGGTACTGTAAAATGCTCGAAAGGTCAGGAATATAAAATAAGTTAATATACGCAATAAAATCCGTAAAAACTAGTTTTATTTAAAAGTAAAGAGGTGTTTAACATCCTGATATAATAGTTAACGAAGGTTACCTTTAACTTAATTATATTTTAAAGCGCGCTAAAATGTTTAAAATTATTTTATAGGCTTTAATTTTAGTGTTAGTAAAGGTTAAAAAATTTGTTGTTTTCACATTAACCAATTATTGTGTCGTTACCTAGCAGCAAATGAACTCGTCTCAAAAGTTTAAAGAAAAACATTGTATCACGATCAAAGATCGTTATCTGATCAATATGATATATCGATAATAAGTAAGTAATAAAAAATAACATATTTTTCGACATTAGAAGATTATTTGATAACACATGTGTATATTATATTCAAGTAGGTTAACAAACATTTTCAACTTATTTGTAAAATAAGACGGAATTACTAGAACTAAGGTTAAAAAACAGCTGCATAATCTAGTGAACGTTTTCAGTCATACGAAGACTATCCAAACCATGTCATATCACTGGAAACATTTTGAATGTCAATAAATTAATTAGATCCTTTATAGATTAATGTAGGTTTATAAATATTAGATAATATTTTGTATTGAATTTTTAACTAACAGGAATATATTATTTTTAATAATAATCATCGACGTAGGACTCGTCGAAAATCGGGTGGTAACTTTGGCGCTTTTACCAAACTGGGACGTATTCCTATTCTAGTGAAAATTGGTTGATATAAGTAATTTATTATCATTAGTCAACATAACACTAATTGATAAAGCATGGAAATATCAATATTATCAGATTTGTTTGATATCACTGTAATAGCTAGTGTAGAGATGTTTAGTGCGATCAAAGTCAACGGGCGAACCAATCGCGAAGTCATTAATTTTCTTTAATTTTATTATTCGTTTCGAATCGATATTTCTTACGTAAAGTACTAATAGATAACTGTTATTAGGTAATATAATCAAAATAAAAAAAATAAAAACATTTCAAGATAAAACTGCGTCTAATTGTTAAGTTACTCCACTAATGTTTGTTGTGCCAAAGTGTTAGTGCTATTGAATCATATTATTGATGCTGTGATTTCCAAAACATGAGTTCTAATGTTAAGTGAGTTTTAGTGTGTAAAAATGTTTCATATATTAAAATATCCATATAAATATTTGTGGATTAACAAACAATACGGATAAACAACCAGAAAACATTTGGTGATTCAAAAAAACTTATTATTATGTTAAATATGTTATTTGTAGAAAAATATTTAGTTTATTATCAAACTTTAAAACAAAATTCAGATCAAATAATACTTTTTAGTCATGCTGTGATCAAACAGATTAAAAATAACATTTACATGCTACATTTATGGTTGGGACATTAACAAAATTCATATAGTGTGATACATTCATTATATCAATAAGAAGCAATGCTACGCAGAAATGGTTTCTAATCAACGCAGACGACGAACAGTAGAGTTTATTAATTGATTTGATTGATAGTCATTAAAACGATATAGTGGCCTTTGCAGATATACGTTGAATTGTTATCATCGGTATCGTGTATGATGTCGATACGATTACCTTTAAATAATAGTTCCTATTAATTATCTTATTTAGATCTAACCATTGAAAGCAAATATGATTTGAAATAGTTTGGAAGCAAAAATGAAACGTAGTAAAGTGAATTTTGCTACTGAGAACGAAGGTGTTAAAACGACAGAATTAAGCTGTTGGACTAAATTCAAAAGATTTTTCGACGACAGAGGGTTTGATTTAGAATTTGAATACGATAGTGGACATGCTCTTCACACTGTTGTGGAAATACAGCATAATGCCAAAAGCTACCGTCAGATCGATGAAACAAATAAAGTACAAGTAGAATCCGAGATCAATAGACGTGTTTCAAAGTCCGTCGTTAAAATAGATGATGAGGTGCCGGCAGTACATTTTTATGAGCAGCTTGCTCCTAAAAGCGATGATACGAAATTAGAAAACGATGTGCGGAAAAGATCATCATTAACACGACATCGAGTATCAGTAAGACCGAGTATATCTCTAACTAAAATTGCCGAGGAAATACTTGGTGAGGCAGAAATGGATGACGTAGAAGAGGTAATTTTTTTTTAAATATGAAAAGCACTATCGACCCTACATTAGTAATTTTCCAATTATTTCATTATTATTTAATATTTTATTGCAAGAATATTTATAATAGGTATAGATTGAATCAGCATTCCTGAAATCAAAACTAACCAATAAGCTCATGTGTCTGTTTATTCTTTTGATTTCAAATTGCTTTTTTCTTGTGTCCCCACACATCATATTTTCTTATTTCTTTTTTTATCGACTCGTCTACGTCTATATTAAATTTTTAATAAGTACACAGTATCCATTAAAATAAAAAAATAAATTAAATCTCTTCATATTTTACAAGCTGATGTGGTATAAAAAGAGGCGGATGAAGCATTCTATATTAGTCCTTAAGTTGACAGAGTTATTTTACAACTGTAAAAATTATGAAAAGGGCACATAGTAGATGATGAGTCCTATAAACATCTATATCTGTCCTCGATTAATAATCAAAACACACGTGCGTTGTACTCCTTAGTTGTAAGGGGTAACGTGTAATATTGTCATACAAGTAAATAGGGTCCTCGATACAAATTTTTCGTATTGCATCAGGAGCATTATTTATTTATTTATTCAAAAATTTTATTATATTAGCCATAAATGCTACCAAGATCGGATTGAATACCAGTTAGCATTCTCTACCAGTCAACCAATTGCGTGATGAAAATTTGTAAACTACCACTACTTATCACCACCACAAATTCATTTCCCATTTGACATTTCACCAACATAACCAATAACTTTATTACAATATAATACCTTTAAATTTATAAAAAAAACTCTATTTTATTTAAAATAAAATACAACGTCCTTTTTTAAAAAGATTATGTACCTACTAGTACTTAACAAGATAAAACACAAATTAAAATGATGCTTACAAATTATATAATACATGTGAATAGGTAAATTATGTTATTTTGTTACGTGTGTTGTTGCAGCGTAATCCTGTCGGTGTCTAGGTGATCCCTTCTTACTACAAATTGCAGCTATAATACAACTGCATCCACGTAAAAAAAAGTACCTCTTGCACTGTAGGTCTTAGTGAACTGCAGAGGGCCTGTAATCTCTACATAGTATTACGTTTAAAGTATGCAACGGATTTTGATGCGGTTTTCATCAATAGACAGAATGATTCAAGAAATAGATTTGTATGTATAGTACATGCCATTGAGTTATATGTACTACGTACTAGAGAAGCCATTCCAAACAAAAATTGTGTCCTACTCTATGTCTTCGCGCATACGCGGGAGTAGTAGTCGCGCATGCGCGAACACTTGAATTTGATATAAAATAAGATATTAATATAAAATACATATACGAATTTAATATGAAATATCTTAATTTAATCTAAACAAACATATTTCTAATTAAAA